CCTGTCTCTTATACACATCTAGATGTGTATAAGAGACAGCTCTGGGGCATACCCCCACGGCGTGCGGTCACTCCGCCACCCTCACCGTGCTCTCTGCTGCTGCACAGCCCCCGTGTCCAAGCCGGGGCGTTAGGATCCAGTCTCATTTTGCAGCTACCAAAGCTGGCGGTTCACGAGCTACCCCGATCTCACGACAGCAGTAACTCCTAACCGCCAAACTCAGGATCCCCTCCTCAACAGTGCCAGGGACCGTATATCCGTCTTTGCTGGGTGGTCTTTCGAGGTCTAGATCCACTTGCGGAACCTCGGCCTTCCCGAGGGACGGGGGGGGCAGGCCGGGACATGTGCCCGATCATTCTGATTCTTATTCTTTCGTGGCACTTTCGGTCTCTCGCTTTCGATCTTGAGGATTATTACCATTGATTCTGTTTTCTACCCTCCGTATTATCTAGATTACAGCCGTATCTGGTGTGTTGGGTTGGCTGTGGCCGAGTAAAGTGATCTCTTATGCACTAAGAGAGGGGAAGAGGAGGTGCTGGATGTACTGCTGTAGGCGGGATGATAGTTATGTTCCGAGATCTCTGCTCTTTTATGTACTGTTACATGCATATCCTCCAAAATCCTTTTCTCAGGTGCCAGTTGACGCCGACGACGCCTTCGGCTGTCGTCGGGCAAAATCATTGCCAGGTGTAGATTAGTTTGCTGTTCGAACAAGAATTGGATACGTTACATCTATCAATATCAACAGATGCTAATCGTCTCTACTATCAAAGCAACTTCTACTTAGTTGGGGTGCATGCATGTATGCATGCAACCTAGCTATTTAACAAAGTGCAAGTAAAGAACCAGATATTCCGAGTGGGAGGGGCGATGTACTTGCACCAAGGAGCAAGTGAGACCTGGTAGTAGGCGGGCACCTCCATTCGGGACTGTGTACATACATAATTTAGGAAATTAGGAAACATAAACACACACACAAAGGCTAGGTACCCATTCGAGATTACAGATAGACCCACAGCTGAAGGGGATGACTACATGCAACAAGGCGGAGACTATTTGCAAGAAGGCGGTGACTATTTGCATACCACCCCAACGTATCCCACTGTAGGCGGCGGCACACAAACCACCACACATCTTTCGAAAGGAGAGCTTACGTATGTACCATCATGATACGCTGGCATCAATAACAACATTGTTGAGCGCCCCCCCCCTCCCCCCCCCCCCCCCCCCCCCCCCCCCCCCCCCCCCCCCCCCCCCCCCCCCCCCCCCCCCCCCCCCCCCCCCCCCCCCCCCNCCCCCCCCCCCCCCCCCAAACTCTTTCTTTCAAGTTCGGCAGCATGTGATGCCGGTTAGCAGCACGTACTTGTACTTGGTAGCTTGTTGGAGGAGGTAGAATACGGCCGCCACAAGTGCCCTTTGGAGAAGTGATGTTGGCATCTCGGAATACCGAGCTGCTGATCTTCGCCCCTCTCGTTTCGATCCGCGTTGTTTTTACCACTGTAAAGTATTTCTTTTTCGTCGGATCCAAGCTTCCCTCTTTCGACTTTGCGTTTGCTCACGAGGTGCGGGGATTCGTTGCTCCTCGTCGCACCGTCATCGCCTATGCGTGCTACCACAGAAGGCTTCCGTAGACGACATAACAGAGAGCTATTCTAGCACGGCGTGGAATTGTGATGAAGGGTTTGGAGGGAAAGAAAGTCGATGTCGACCCAGTCAAGTGACAAAGTGTGGCGTGGCTCGGACACCTCGCGTCGATACGCGGTGCGCGGTGCGTGACCATATCTTTTCACCTTGCGGCGCAGGGCCCATAAAACTCAAGCCTCCTACTTCCATTTGGCCTCAATATTGCGGCAACCGCTACATCTGCGATATTGAGGCCTTCTCCAAACCCTTGTTCGCAGACATGGCTGATTGGGTTGCCCGATACAAGGCGACGTTCATTCCCAGCTGCCGCACCGCCTCGTCAATGTGCCCCTCCCTCACCCTCGGCGAACGAGAACCCGGCATATCGCTCCGTCCCGGCGTTGTCGGGGTGCGAGGTCAATGGTCAAATGACTACGGCATGCGTTTAGTTGACGTACACCATCCCCCCCTGAGCGATGCCAACATTTTTCAGTTCGAAAGGTACACATGATATTACATGTGGGTTGTTTTGTCCACACGCACTCATGCCCCCGCGCGGTCCCTCCACCATTCCCACCCGCGCACGCACCCCTTCGGTTCTCAACCTGTTTCACGGTTCCGCACGCAAAACACAAAATCAAGCAGAATGGACGGGGGACGGCAACCGAATCCCCCGCCCCCCCGCCCGGCGCGGGCCTCTGCGGGCGTTCAAAACCTTGAGACCCACGTCGCCAAGCCGCAGCCGGCAGGCGGCGGGTCCCAGCTGCCTAGGGGGGCTACCCGCCGGAGCGTTTCGTGCGCCGGGCATAACGTGAAGCGAGAGGCAAGGCGAAGCCCCTCCACCAAGGCGGCGGCGGCGGCAGCGGCGGCGGCGGCGGCACCACCACCGCCGCAAGCAGCAGGGGGAAGATCTCGGTCCAAATCGTCGTCGTCGCCGCCGCCGCCGCCGCTACACCGGACGGCACGAGCGCCATCGCTGCCTGCCGAGTCTTCCTCCTCGATCACTGGGGCCCAGATGCCCAGCGCCGCCGCAGCCAACGACGACGATGGCGACCTGTCGCCGGCGGAGGCGCTGCCCACGCGCTCAGTCTTCATCGCCACGGCGGTGCTGGTGGGGAAGCGGAACCAGCAGCGGAACCAGCAGCAGCAGCAGCAGCAGCAGCGGGAGGAGAGGACGTCGCCGAACTGGCGCGGGAAGGAGGAGGAGGGCGGGGTCAGCCGGAGCAGCGGCGGCAGCAGCCGCGGCGGCGGCGGTGCGAGCAGGACCCCCAGCCCTTCCTTGACGCGCCGGGTGTGGGCGTCCACCTCCTCGCGGTTTGGCAGCAGCGGCAGCTGCGGCGGCGGCGAAGACTGCGAAGGCTGCGTCGGCTGCGTTAGCATTCGGAGGTTGTCCACCGGCAGCAGCGGCAGCAACGGTGGCGTAAGGGAGGGTGCGGACCCTGTCGCTCTCTGGCGGAGCTACGGCAGAGACGACGACGTCAAAGGGGGCAGTATTGCCCGGGCGACCGCCGCGGAGGCAAGCGCGGAGCAGAAGGCCAAGGCGCCCGCGACCACCGTTTCCCCCACCGCCAGGTTCTACGACTACTGGAGACACTGCAACTTCCGAGCGGCCTCGACGGTGAGGAGCGCGACGAAGAACATGGCCGACGACATCCTGTCGACAGCGGGCGAAGATAACGAAAAGATAGCCGTCCCCGCTCCGTTGGATCCGGTCACTTCCGCCCGAGCAGCGCCGCTGATCCCAGCCACGAAGAGGAGCAGGGGGCTTCCAGCAGGCCAAGACGGTGAGCTGGTTGCCGGCGGCGGTAACGATGGAGCCGGCAACGTCGAGAGTGAGAGCGCCGCGGCCGCAGCCGCAGAGGCGAGGGAGGACAGAAAGGACCGAGCGGAAGCCGGGGCGAAGGCCAGGACGGCCTTTGCCGCCGCGGCAGTCGCGGAGCGACGGACGGAGGACGCGAAGCTTAGGCTTGGGGAGCTGAGGTCGCGCCCGGACAACAGGCAAGAAGAAGCGCGCTCGGACTGCTTCACTGCTTTAGTCGCGCCGTGTGCCTGGGAGGGTGCGGAGGGGGGGGGGGCATCCGGCATCTTGTGTGTTTGTCAAGACGGTTCCTCTGACCGACGACGGAAAATATACGCGGACTGCCAACATCTCACTTGGTTGTGTGATGATGTTCTCCGTCGCGTGCGCGCCGCGCCCCCTGTTTGTAACCTCGGTTCCGGATTCCGATTTGTTTGTTTTCGTGTTTTGTTCTTTTGTTGTCGTGTAGCCGCTGCGCGGACTGCGGAGCGCCGTGCGCCGATTGGGCTTCCGTCGCGCACGGTTCTTTCGTCTGCCTCAAGTGCGCCGGGCAGCACCGCAGCCTCGGGATGCAAGTGATCTTCACGCGGTCTCTCGTCATGGACAAGTGGACGGGTGAGTGTTTCGAGCGGTGCGATAGCTCTGCACTTCTCCCTTGATTGGTTGGGGGTCCAGATGTGTTGCCTACATTTCGTTTGTGGCTCGCGCGCGAGCGGTTTGTCGTGGTAATGGTCGCGTTCCTGCCCTGCAGGCTGAGGTCGTTGTTGTGGCTGCTGCTGCTACTGCTGCATGATAGCCACGAAACTCCCGCATTGCTTCTTCAGCGACCATTCCAGCGTTCCCGACGACGGGTGCGAGGTTTCGCCCCCACCTTGCCCCCCCCCCCCGCTTATTTATCTTGCCCTTGATTTTTTTTGTTGTTGCGGGAACCATCTTGGTGGTCGAGTAGACTACGTTGCGTGCGGCGTCGAGAACACTCACTCCGTGCAAAGGGGATGATCGCACCACGTTGTGTTGAATTGGTCAACCACCATCGAGGCAGTTAGTTAGACAGTGCTTATAACTGTCTCTGGAAGTGAAAGCGCCAGAAAGCAAATCAAGTCATTCGAAGCTGTCATCCGTACGCAAGGAAGTAAGCACAAGATGCCGAA